ACCCACCCCTCCCAGCCATCGTCTGGAACTACTTCTATCAGTCTGAAATGACAAGGTTGATCGTAATTTGCTTATTATTGGAGACGAAGAAATATTATAGGTTTGGGCTTTATTGTTAAGGTGTAGAAATAATAATGTTCTAGATTAGATTGGGGCAGGCGCTTTTCTCTTCTGCCTCTGGTCCTTTTAAAATTTCTTCCATTAGCCATGTACCCAGACGTCCTCAATAATTCATTCCTTCTCTTCTTGCTGTCGTTTCTTCTGGGCGTACATCTTATTTATGTTTAATGGGCATCCTGGTTGGAACTTGGGCTTTTTTGTTGATGTTTTTGTTCTGATGGTGACAGTTGTGATGATGGGGATGGTGCGTTGCGTTTGTTGTTGTTTTGGGGGTTTGTTGTTGTTGTTGTTATTGTTGCTGCTGGGGCTGTTGTTGATGTTGTTGTTGTTGTTATTGTTGATGATGATGATGATGATGATGATGATGATGATGATGATGATGATGATGATGATGATGATGATGATAACCTTCTTCTTCTTCTTCTTCTTCTTCTTCTTCTTCTTCTTCTTCTTCTTCTTCTTTTAATTCTTTATTCTAGGTCGTAGTGGTGGTGGTTTGGATGTTGCTGCTGTTGTAAATGTTATTTCGTATATATCTTACTTTTGTTTTGTTTTTTGTTTTCATTTGGGGGGGGGTTGTTTGTTTTGTTTTTCTCGTTTTGTCTGTCTGTTTGTTTGGCGTGGAAGGGACTGCATTACCTTAAATTGCATCATTGTATCACGTTGGGCTGCGTAATGATGATTCAGGTTCAAGTCCACAACGAAATTGTGTTTGAAGTAAAATTTGAGTATTTGAGGAATTTTCACAACTCCATTCCAGAGGATAGGTTTTAAGCCTGTACAACTCAGTGTTTTACCAAGTTTGTTCAGCTCCTAAGCCGGCCTATGGGATGCAGGAGTCAGGCGCTTGGCGTCTGCTTTTCTTCCATATGAACAGTGACATCTGAAGTCTAAATACGCATTATGGAGAAAAGCCGATGCAATACGGGGCGTCTAACTTCTATACCAGTTGTGTCTCTTTATTGTTATATTGAACATGCCAACTTTAGCATAAACTACTACATTAACCCATTCTTTCTATAACTTACTAATTCTGCAAAAACCACCAGGAAACTGGAGAACAACTAAAAAACTACTACACCATTTTGGTCGTCACCCATTTCGGTCAGTCGAGACTGTAAGTCAGTTCCAGCAAGAAAAATGTGTAAAGCAACACAGTATAGAGCCTGCTTTCTTTATAGAGACCAAAAACAGGAAAAAGATCAAGAAGAAGATCAGACACAAGGTGACAAGATGACATCAGAGAGCAGACGGGTATAACCTAGATATTAATATGCAGAATAGTCGATAGCACAGAATGGAAGTCATCATTTGAGGGCTACATCTTGCGGTGGACGGAAAATCCTAGAAAGAAAGAGAAAGGAAAAAAGAAGTCATGAAAAAATCTTAGTTGACCCTTGAAATTATAAGAACCTTCTCTGTTGTCTACGTCGACCTGTTCCGTTTACCCTCCTTGTCCTTCTTGTAGACACTGGCTATGATCTTTTCCTGCTGAGTAATTTATTTTCAAAAGGAGCTGAGCTGGGGAGAAAATTGAATCATAGCAAGGTTATGGGTAATCGGTTCTGGTGTACTTTGCCAGACGATGGAAGGAGGAGTAAGGTAATTACAACTGATTTTTTAAGGGTAAGGGAGAAGCTAGTTGGTTTATATTTTATTTTTTTTTGGTTGTCTAGGTTATGTTTTCTCGTTTTATTTGTCTGCTTGTGTGTTTGTGTATGTTCCTGCGCACTCGCGTGTGAGTGTGTGTGTGTGTGTGTGTGTGTGTGTGTGTGTGTGTGTGTGTGTGA